AATGAATAAATAACATTCATACACACAGAAAGACAAATAAACAAATAAATAAATACACAAAAAACACACAAGACAAATAAATAAATAAAACATTCATACACACAGAACGACAAATAAATAAATAAATAAATAAAAACACTTATACACACAGAAAAGACAAATGATCATACACAACAGAAAGACCAATAAATAAGACATTCATCACACAGAAAGAAGACAAACAAATAAATAAAACCATTCCGACAGATGGCTGGAGGATTTCGCCCGCCGAGGCAGCTGGCAGGTGAGCTTCGGCAACTGCACCGAGGACGTGGGTTGCCTCAGCATCGCCGGACCGAAGTCGAAGGAGATTCTCGCCACGATCGCGCCAGAGTTCAAAGGGAAGTTCCCCTTCTTCTCGTCCAAGGAGGTGAGGCGAGGCGTTCTTGGGGGGAGGCCTTGTCTTTCGGATTTAAGTTGTTCGTGGATATATGCATTTATGCACGCACAACGCACGCACGCACGCACGCACCGCTAATGAACGAAAAGAATTATCACATGACTTTTCATTTTGACGATTTTCCACATCACACGCGGCATGCACACACACACAACCAACACACACAACACACACCACACACACACACACACACACACACACACACACACACACACACACACACACAACACACACAAAACACACAACACACACAACACACACACACATTCACTTCGTAACTAGTATAATCAAGAAAAATATACCCTTTTACAAAGCATTTACAAACGCTTTTCTAAAAAAAAAAACAAAAAAAAACACACAATATCCCACGAGAATTACCACTGACACTGCCTTCCTCAGGTCGATCTGGCCGGCGTGAAGACGACGGCGATGCGTATCTCATACACGGAAACTGGGCTGGGAGTTGTACCATCCGCGTGAACAGACGGCACAGCTGTACGAGGCCCTGCTGCACCACGGAGAGCCCTTCGGTGAGTCTGTGCAAGGAAGGAGAGAGGGAGGTAAAAAGGGGAGGAGTGGGAGGTAGACGAAGGGGGAGGGAGGGAGGGAGGGGAGAGAGGGGGAGGAAGAGGGAGGGGAGGAAGAGGGAGGGGGAGGAAGAGGGAGAGCGAGGGAGTGGGGAGGGGGAGGAAGAGGGAGGGAGGAAAGAGGGAGGGGGAGGAAGAGGAGGGGAGGCAGAGGGAGAGGGAGAGGGAGAGGGAGAGGGAGAGGGAGAGAGGGAGAAGGGAGAGGGGAGGGGAGGCAGGGGAGAGGGAGAGAGGGAGAGAGGGAGAAGGGAGAGGAGGGAGAGGGAGAGGGAGAGGGAGAGGGAGAGGGAGAGGGAGGGGAGAGGGAGAGGGAGAGAGAGAGAGAGAGAAGAGAGGAGAGAGAGAGAGGAGAGAGAGAGAGAGAGAGAGAGAGAGAGAGAGAGAGAGAGAGAGAGAGAGAGAGAGAGAGAGAGGAGAGAGAGAGAGGAAAGAGAGAGAGGAGAGAGAGAGAGAGAGAGGGGGGATAGAAGAGAGAGAGAGAAAGGAGTTTAATGCTGCTTTTATAGACTTGCGTGCTTGTTTTAGGAGCTTGTTGAGGGTAGTAGGTAAAGTTATTTATTCATATTGGGGTTGTTCTTGTGCCTTCCTACGAATGGGGAAGCTCTTTCTTCAAAACACAAAATGATTTTGTCATTTAATTTGATTCCGGTAACTTTAGGTTCTTCATCTCCACTCAGCGTCAACTCAAGTATTTCAGAAGTTACCGTCTCCACGATCAGAAAGCTTTAAATATCTTTTAACAAGCGTCCATATATATATCTTTATCTATCTCTTAACAGGAGCCAACGACGTGGGCACCATCGCTGTGAACGTCCTGCGCCAAGAAAAAGGCTTCAAAATGTGGGGCGCAGAGATGAACATGGACACCACCATCATAGACGCTGGGTTGATGAGCTTTGTAAATATGAACAAGGTAAAGAAAACGGTTTATATCTCGGCGTCACGGAGCTTACTAAATCTATCCACTTGGAATAGATTCATTTTGTTACTTCGTATAATACACAACAGCTGACTAGACGTAAATATGAACAAGGTAAAGAAAACGGTTTATATCTCGGCGTCACGGAGCTTACTAAATCTATCCACTTGGAATAGATTCATTTTGTTACTTCGTATAATACACAACAGCTGACTAGACATAAAACAGCTGACAAGACGATGGAATTTTGCTAAGCTCCAAAAGTTCTCTAAAATACACATTCAAATTCTTCATTTGTATAAGAAACAGAATCGGGTCTATACCATTTTTCACAAGCTGTCTGATAAATATTTATTTTTAAAAATGTGTATATCACCTGACAAACTCTATATCTGATTCTTCCTTTCGTATTCAACCACCAGGGAGATTTCGTGGGACGAGATGCGTTGGTGGAGCTACTGAAGAAGAGACCCAGGAAACACCTTATTCAAATGACAATTGAAACTGACGATCACGACCCCCATGTAAGTTAGGAAAATGTGAATGGCTTTACTAAAGGTGATACTGTTATAACAACTGAATTCACAGCTCAGATATGATCATAAGAATTAGCCTTATCAGTTTATCAAACACCAGAATTCACAGCACAGGTATAATCATAAGAATTAGATATCAGTTTATTATAACACGACTTCACAGGAAAGATATATCATAAAAAATGACTTATCACTTTATCGAAACACCTGAATTAACAGCTCAGATATGATCATAAGAATTAGACTTTTTACTTTATCAAAACACCAGAATCCACAGCTCAGATATGATCATAGAGAATAGACCTCACTTTATCGAAACACCAGAATCCACAGCTGAGATATGATCATAAGAATTAAACTTCTCACTTTATCAAAACACCAGCTCAGATATATAATAAAAAATAGACTTATCACTTTATCAAAACACCAGAAATTCACAGCTCAGGCATGATCATATGAATTAGTCTAATTAATTCCGATGTGGGTTCCAGGGCGACGAAACAGTCTGGCTCGGAAACAAGGCTGTTGGGAACACGACCAGCGGCTGCTACTCGTACCACCTCGGAAAGTCTTTGGCCTTTGCTTATGTGCCTCCTCTCCTGTCCGTGCCTGGAACTGAAGTACAGGTAAATATGGCAAAAGCAAACTTAAAGCTTAGTGTATTTTTTCAACAGAGTATATTTTCGAAGGCGAGTGGTATAAAAGCAAGGATATTCGAGTTTTCTCATGCTTTACTTGCAGAATTTTCATGTATTTTATTCATATATGAATGTCAGAAAGATCGAGTGTTCATTCCATACATCTGAAATTAAAATGTTTGATTTATAATCAATAGATATTAATATCTCGTAGATAAGTATTTCAAATTCCTTGATATAACAAGAGTGAAATAAATCACTCAGTCTCACGAGAAACACATATTTCCCAAAACAATAGAGAGAGAAATACCATCATAACATTTAGAGAACAGCCTCTAAACCAACCAACGTTCTCCAAACAGGTCGAACTCCTTGGCGAGATGCACACCGCCACCGTCTTGGCTGGGCCCCCTGTCCTGACACACACAGCCCGAGCCAAGAAGTAATCTTTCCTGCATTCTTTGACGTCTAAACACAGAGAGTTCCTGGGACGCTGTACTTGTTTAATATGGATTGCACAGTCCATATCTTAATCGTATTTTGTATCAAGATATTTTGATATTTTACCCATAATTGTTGTTTTAATCTTTTGATAATAACGTTTTTTTTAACTGATTAGATTTTATTAAACATCTTTGGTATGGGATGAGGCCATTGTACTTGTATGCGTGTATATATGTATGTATGAATGTATATTCGGGTGCAAATATTACTATGCTGTTGTGACTTATATATCTCCTGTGATATCAGACCGCTGTTGTAAAACAGCATGAAACCCAGTATGATATAAAAACAGACATGCAAATAATTTTACCCTTATTAATTAGACATAAGTAAAAGTGGAACGAAAATATGTAAAAGAGATAAATAAATAACAATAATAATAACTTTTAAAGGTATTCCCAAAAAAATTTAGATGGACTTGAAATTGCAGCGCTACGATTTACTAACGAAAGTAAGAAATCCTCTTTCAAGGCAGTTTCTTATTTCGAAATACGTATCCTTTCCCGCGACAAGCAAATTATGTGCGTATTTTTTTCTCTGAGGCTTTGTATGATATTCATACTGTTTCGCGCGAGTCCACGTCACAAAATTATGTGGTTTGTGTAAGTTCAGCCGAGTTTGTCCACGATTTTGTCAATGTTAAAAACATTTGTTGGAGGTTTTGTCGTCTGTCAAAACAAAACAAAATCTACGAAAAGCCGAGATTGTTATGTAAAAATAGTATTTCATTTTTGTAATGGTTTTAATTAAAATACAGACTGTTAACCTAAAGTTGTTTTTTTCCTTTGATTCCATACATAGCAAAATGTTTCTTTCTTTAGTTCTTGCACGTAGACCAACAACGGACTGCACGCTGATGCAATTGTAACTGGGTTTTGCAAGAATATCCAAGTACCATGACGTGCTTTAAAGTTCAGAGCGTCTGGGTAACACAAGTTTTATGTCTGTTAACTTTTCTTTAACCCCGAAACACGTGTGCAAAGTGGGGTGTTTTTTATAATGGTGATGACACTTTGCATACGGGAATACACAACTTGTTTTTACTTGTAAATTCCTTATTTACTGGTTACGTTGACTTGGCTCACTACCTTTCTAATTTTGATATGTGGTGGTTATTCCAATAACAAACTATTGATATTCAGATTATATTGATTATGAAAATTATCTTTAAATAACGAACATTCTGTATTAACACTTTTAAAATCATAAGCGAATAGTTTTTACGCCACGCTCATATTCTAACCTTAAATACTTTCCCTTGTTGGTGTGTTCAAAATCTCATGTTCAACTCTGCAAATTTTAAGGCGTATGTAGCATTGGGAAAGGTTTATTACAAAATTGGGATTTGCAAATAAAGACGAAAGTTGTCCAATTATT